TAATTTTTTCGGAGAGTACTTTCAACCGGAATATGTCGATTGCAGTGTTTTTCAAGGAATTCTTGAAGAGGGCCTTTCTCCAATTTTTTTAAAGGTATATTGGACTGGATCATCATTTTACATAAATCGAAATTAAACTGAAACTGCTCATCTTTTGTGGAAGTAGATGCAACAGATTCATGTATGGTCTGCTGTTTAATTTTAGAAACTTCAAGCATTTTCTTCCTTTCTACATGAAGACTCGTTCTGACATGTTGCGTCACGTTATATTTTTTATCACTTTGAATCTAAAACAACATACATATACAGGATTAACAAAGGAAAATAGATAAAAAAAAATTAGTGGGCTTACGGTTTTCACACAAGCTCTGCAGAATATTTTGTTGTTTTCTAATTTTAATTTATCCACTCATCCGGCGTCGATTTTACTTTCGGCATTCTTTTAAAATATTAGTAATATTACTAAAAAGAACTCAACATGGAACAAGGGAGAACTACGTATAAGACTGTACTACGACAGATGCGATAGACTGATGGTTGTGAAATAAACGGTTCATTTACTTAAAAGTTTCCATTAGAAAAATTTTAAGGTAGGTAGTTGGGTACAATAATCCTTTTTTCTAGAAAATCTTCAACGGTCTTGCCGCAAAATGCCGAAAAAGAACATCTGGTTAAAAGCTTTAATTCATTATCAACGGAAGTAAGGATTTAAAGTCATAAAATCTATGGAGTATTTTTCCAATCTTATAATAAAATTTTATTACCCAAACGACCGGAACCTATTCACAGAAAAGGTCTTGAGTAAGTCTACTTCAATGGTCAAGTCCAGGTAAAATGCATACGATACGATACGGCTAACTAACAAGTATTTGTCATCCCGACAAGGCCGGTATTTGAACAAAATATGCATTTAAACTCATATTCGTCGAAAAAAGCATTAAATAAGCATACAAGTTTTAATATGCATAAAATTGAAAAAAAAGCAAATAAGCATAAAAAAATGTGTCAAATGACTCCAAATTGTATCATAGTTACAGATATAAAAAAGTTTTGAAGTGCTTACATTTTTCACAAAAAGCATTAAACCTAGAAATCCGCTCTCTACTGATAACCTTTAATACAGTAAAAAATAGTGGTGGAAATGACACCTCGAACCCTCTGCGCCGCGAGGGTGCAAATTCCAAAGAGGTGCCGTCCCCAGTTATACAGACAATATAAAATGTATGCAAAGGAAATAACCAACGGAAAAGAGGGTACTATAATCAGCAGTAGCGGCGTAAAGGAGGGGGCGATGGGGGTGGTCCGCCCCGAGTACCAAGCACAAAGAGATGATCATTTCTTCGTACTCTAGGGGTCATGAAACGTCGACAAAAAGTAAAAGTAGAGAGTCGGCCGACGGACTTCATTACAATACTTCCTAATATTTTCCCGTTTTTTTTTAACATATGTAAGACATCTTTTCATAATAAGAAACGTAAAACAGGGTTAAAATGGTTTATGCAAGGAAATAAGGCTTTTGCAATAATTATGGGGAGGGGCCTAATTACAAAATCGATATTTCCTTATTCAAATTTTCCATTTTAAACATGTTTTAAGTTTCATGTTGTGAAAAGAAGTGTACATATATTAAAACGAAAAGGCAAAATGTAAACCCACCCACCCGCCCTATCTCAATTGTGATGATTATTTTCGTTCGCCCTAAACCAAGGGGACTCAGCTTAACTTCAAAATACGTATTTCTTTACAAGAAATTAAAAACATGTTTTTGAGCATCGTGTTGTTCAAAGAATACTATGTACATTAAGAGAAAAAGACAAAATATAAACGCCGCCCACCCACCCCATTTCAATTGTGATGTTTTTTTATTTTTAGAAACTTAAAACACGTTTAAAATCGTAAATTTTTGTAAGGAAATATGGATTTTGTAATTAGGCTCCGCCCCTAGGTCTGCCAACGAATAAAAACTTCATTACTAATTAGATCAGGGCAGTTATGGGTGGGGCTTAATCTTTGGCTTTAATTTTTTCTTAATATACATAGTATCCTTTCAGTAACAAGATACTCAAAAAAATGTCTTACATGGTAATTTCTTGTAGAGAGAGAAATAATAAGAATTGTGCATTTAAATTCCGCTCCTTTTGGCTCTCGACGATTATAAAAAAGAAACTTAAAATATGTTAAATTCTTGTAGGCAAATATGGATCTTACAATTAAGCCCCGCCCCTCGATCTGATAACGAATGAAAAATTCATCACAGTTGAGAATTGAGATTGGGGCGGGTATGGGTGGGGCCTAATCTTTGGCTTTATTTTTTTATTAATATACATAGTATTCTTTGAACAATACGATACTTAAATACATGTTTTTAATTTCTGGTAGAGAAATAAAAATTTTGTAGTTAAGCTCCGCCTTCTTGGCTCACGACGAATAAAAAAAAATCATCACAATTGAGACGGGCGGGTGGGCGGGGCTACATTTTGCCCTTTTTTTCTTAATATATGCAGACTTATTTCGACAACAAGAAACTTAAAACATATCTAAAATGGTAAATTTTTGTGTTAATCAACTTAAATCTTCCACTTTTCTTTTACAACCCCTTTAGATACGGCAAAAGTTGAAAATCAAAGTTACTATCAACGGCAATTTGGCAACGGAGTTTATAAATAACAATTTTCAGCTTTAAAAGTAACGTCAGCGGGAACAGCAACTGCAACGGTGAGTCTATAAATTCCACTGCTAATGTTATCACAAAAAGATGTACATGGAGTAGTTCCAAATCTGACAAAACTCTACGACTAAATTTTACGACTGAGGCGCCACTTGGAAGTCGCCAACATTTCTTCCCAAGAAGTGGTTCAGAGGACTTTAACGATTGTCGTTTTGTGATAACCGCTGTAAAATAAAAACCAGAGGCGTAAATAGCACCCCTTGTCCTTCAGCACTCGTTAATAGCATTCTGAATTCAAGTGTTTAATTATGTTTATATTATGAAAGAATGTCACGCAGAAATTAGTTTGTTTTGGAAAACCATAATCGAACAAAATGCTCTGAATATTATACTCCTAATTCTTATTTAATCATTATTATATACCTAAAGACGTGCGTATTCTCCATATTTTCGAGAAAATTTGTGACGACGTTATCAACATGGATAATTATTTTAGTCACAGCACAAAAAAAAAGTAGTCACAGCGTTATACCAATGCACGAAAAAAAAAGGAAAGGGTCAAGTTCGGCATCGAACCCACAATTGCAATACCGCAGGTCGCCGTTCTCTCCGATACACCCACTGCGCCACGGAAATATACAAGCTGTCTTGGGAATGAAACGTTATTATACCTTGCAAATGTTTTTGCGAAAATTTGAACGTCTAGTGAAACAGTTTACTTAATAATTTTTGGAGGTGATGAACAGACAAAATTTGGTTTGCATTTTAGACACAATAATTTTCACGTACAGTGCCCTGTATTTCAAAAAGATTAAGTATAAAAATTTGCAAAATGGGGAAAATGCATTTTTGTATTCTCAAAAATGTCAAATTAAAAAAAAAATGCCATTCGTCAAAATGGACCCCTATCATAAGCTGACATTTTTGACTAAAAATTTGACGTCTTAGAAAAACTTAGGTTTTATTTTTCACTTCCAGACAATTTTGGAATTCTTCTTGTAATAGTTATTTTACGAAAAAAAAAACTCCCTAAATGTAAGCTAAAAAAGAAAAATATATCCCCCGTTTACATTTGTCTCCCGTTTTCGTCTGCCTCTCTGCTTGTCTGTCTGCTCCTCTATCGTCGGTCCGGATTTTTATTAGACAGATAATTTTCAAGATTACTGGATCGATTGTTGCCAAATTTTATACGTATATTAGGAATATAGTAGGTACATATGGGAAAACGTTAACCAAAATTTACTAAACATCTCCACCAACAACAGGATGACGTCATCGTCATCTCCAAAATTTATGTTAGTACATATTATTTATATTTTACAAAGATTTTTAGAAAAAAATCAAAATTTTATATCAAAATTCAGAGTTCTATCTTTCTGGGTTCACTTTTTTAGGCACTAAAAAATTCTCTCATTATTAATAATTAAATTCCAAGGGATACCGAGTCTTCACAACTTTAACAGATAATCACAAATGTTTTTAGGATTCACCTTTTTTTAGACAAAAAATTCATTTATTGATAATTTAGCTTCTAAGGCGACGAGTAATTTTTAATAACACCTAAATGTGCTCGCTGCGCTTGCTTTCATATTAAATTATCTTTCATAATAATATATAATAACAATAATAATATAACTTAAAATGGTGGGGTGTCATAAGAACGTTTACCTCCTTGTGAAGATAAATTATTCTGAAAAAATCAGCCTGGGTGTTTCATATTTTTTTAACTATTGTATACGTAGATTTTTTTTATATAAGTTGTTTATTGATCCCTTCTTGATAAAAATTCTCCGCCATGACCAGACAAGGAACAGGTCTTCGTTCTGAGTGTGAGAAAGGTACTGTATAATTTTAGACCAATTTCTTAATTTATAAATGTTATAAAAAAAATTGCAAAATTATGTTTTATAATTTTTCGAAGAATCTGTATTTACTCGCCTGTACGTCAGACAGACGCCAGAAAAATAACTTTAGACCAATTTTTTTAATTCACATTTACACGATTCACGAAAAAAGGATTTAGGTACTTCAATTAAGGTAACTTTAGAAAAATGAACTATAAATTACAAGAATGTCTTTCTGTTATCCCCATCGTACAAAACGCGAACCTTAAGTGCCTATTCCAGTTTCGAATGATATTGGGAAAATGGTCTTTTATTGCTAAAATTTCTCACTTCTTCGGATTATGCGCGAACACGTCCCAATATTTTGTTTTATTTCAGCTAAATTATTCCCTGTCTAGTCTGACAGATTAGCGATTATCCGCTCGCGAACACTGTACAATAATCATGGATCACGTCTGTGTTGATTGATTTCATGTTGTATGTTTCAGGGAACTGAAAGCAGCCTGCACAGACGCCCTGGCCGGCAAAAAATTTTCACAAGAAATTGGCGTTGACAAAGTGGACAAATCATTAGTTGCGAATTTCGAAATACTTAACTTAGTTCCTGAACGTAGCACCAAGGAGATCGACCCATTTAGCAATAGGAGCGAGAGCGGTGAGTGATCAAAATCATTTAAAATATGTGTGAAAAAACTGGAACAATAAATGCTCAGCTGGGCACCACAGTGGCTGTATATTCAAACACTAAAAATGCAAAATCTTGAATTCGTTATACTTAGTTCTCTGTCAATGTCCTCAAACTGTGATAGTGAAATACAACTAGCGTTCCGCAGGAATGAAAACGAGAAAGACAAATAACCAGGCTTTTTGTCCAAGTTTTTTCGGTCGAACTGTAATAAAATAACTATTTGTAAATGTGGAATGCCACAACATTACGATAAAAGTCGTGACAGCTTTCTGCTAAAAAAGCTTACTGTGGTTTTAAATGATCATCATTATTCCATTTTCTGATAATCGCAGACACATTTATTTTTCCAGATGCAATATTGACAATTGGTATTTCTTACGATTGCATTATTTTTCAAATTTGATTATGATCACTTAAATACGTTACGTTATATAAAAATTAAAGTACCTACGTTTTAATTGATCATGATTTTGATTTTGTCGTTAGTCGAACCAAGCTCGTCAAGCGTCAAGTGGAAAAGAGTCGGAATGGTATCCGGAAGGTCCGTTCGATTGGATACGATCATTTGGCCCGGCGGCGACCTGTCAGTGGCTGCCGTCTCCTCCAGAGCCAGGACCGTATTCAGGGTGGTAACGGCCCTGGCGCCTCCCTTCGTCATGGAGAGCGAGCTAGACGAAGACGGACAGTGCCTGAGAGGTAAATCCACCTCACCCACTAATAAATCAGTCTCTTCCGCAAAAACTGCCCCATTAGGCAAAACATTACCGTTGTAATTTCCATAACCCGCTGACGTCAATGCCGAGCGCGACCCGACGTCGAGTGTTTTAAACAAGCCAAACAAAAAGCATTCGATTGCGTGAAAATCTGTTGGAGCGCACACATCAAAAATCGTGCAATCAAATTAATTTGCGCTTTGAACCGAGCCTCGCTAGACAAAAGGTAATTAATCTTGAGCAGAGATGCTTTTAGCGCCAGATAATTAACAACTACAGTCACCGTAATGTTCTAATAGAATTTTCCAGCACGACGGCTCATTAATCTCACGTTGTAGGTCTTCCGTGTCATCGAGTGCTGACATCGGACAAAGACAACTTGACGTTGGTTTTCAACGAGATGCAGCGGCTCGAAGAGGAGGAAGACGAAGAGGACGAATCGAATCCAGAGTACAAACAATTCTCGAACGATTACGAGGAAAACGAGCGATTTTTCCCCTTCCAAAAATTCAAGTATCGAACGCAGTGCTGTTACGGGCTCTCGATGGATCTTCTGGAAAACGTGGCGCAAGAGCTGGAGTTCGATTTCCGGCTGTACATCGTCGCGGATGGGTTTTTTGGGTCGAAGCTGGTGAGTCCACGCAAGCAACGAGACATAGGTGAGTACTTTCTTCATTACGTTGCAATAGAACATCGCTAGATTTTCTACATTTTGATGTAACAATTTCGTTTTATTTTAAACGCCAATATATCGTATTAAATTGAAATACACATTACGTATATATCACAACATCGTAAACATATAACTGCCAAATATACTACCGTTTTTAAATAGTGCACTTTTTTCTGAATTCAGAAATGTACCTAATGCATGCATTATTTTGTTTTTTCCCAATATCGTAAAATAAATTGTCAAAATAAAATTACTGAAAATCAGAAAATTGTAGCTAGTCTTGACAATACTATTACCTACAAGGTGTCCAATCATTGTAAAAATGATAAAACTCAAATAAAGGTGCCAGATTGATTTAAATGTCCTTTCCAAATGATTTACAAAATATTCTAGAAATAACAATACTCCGATTTAATGATTCTAAGTAGTAAATACATTGTTATGAAAGCTTTTTGAAAAATTTAAATAAATAATTACATTATTGAAAAAAGTTCAAATGAACATTTAAGAAGCAATAATTTTACAACAAATGTTTGAAATGTTCTCCACTTACTTCCTGTAAATAGTAAACACGTTGCACAAAGTTTTCAACTGAATGTCTTAAAATTTTAGGAGGAATATCAACAATCACATTTAATATTCTTTCTTGGAGTTCTTCGATGCTTTATGGTCTATTAACATAAACTCGATTTTGTACATAACCTCACAAAAGAAAGTCAAGTGGGGTTAAATCGGGTGATCTAACTGGTCACTCAACTGTTCCCCTTCGTCCTGTTCACCTTCCAGGAAAAGTGTCATTCGAGTAATGCCGTACTTGACGTCTCCGAAGTGAGATGGTGCTTCATCTTATTTGATTGAACCAGATGAACTCTGCAGATAAATTTGGGTTTTCAAAGTTCACAATCCTCACTCAATTCTTGTAGTACATGAATTTTTTATGGATGATTTTTTAATGTTTGAGTATTTTTCCAACTGAGTCTCTACTCATATTGCGGTTTAGTGCCAACTGATGCACTGAAGTTTTTGGATTTTCAGTTTGTAACATTTTTGGTCTTCCAGTTCTTTGACGATTTCTAACATTATCAGTTTCGTTAAATTTGCGCAATGTTTTTGAAACCGTCGACCTAGAGACTTGTTCTCGACTGAGATGAGTTTCATTAAAGTCCTGCTATTTAAGTATTGCTTTGACGTCTGATTTCTGTTCGTTCAGTCTCTGTTAATGCTGCCACTTCAGTGTTTTATTGAAATATTTTTAAACCTGATTGTAAAAGTTTGCTCTTCAATACACATTGACAAATCGATGATAGTATTTTCAAAAATAACTACGATTTTCTATTTTAGATTTTATTCACAATAAATAATCATTTTATTTGCCGTTTTAGTTAAAAAAGTCTATACAAGTGTTACAGTTCTGAGTTCAGAAAAAAATATTCGACTCAAAAATTGACGATTTGACTAGTGGTGCTATTTAAAAACAATCCACTTAGTTTAAAGTTTAAAAAAAAATGCAGAAAATAGAACTTGAGTGTTTTTGTGCCTTATAATAAAAATAACTTTCACGATTTTCATTGCTTTTGTCTTAGCCAGTCTGAAATTTTCACACGAACAAATTGTAGGAAATTAGCAACTTTTTTTACACACATCCCACATTTTCGCGTTTCCATTACTACCTATCTGGGACAGCAGCAGTTCATGAAATACGAAAAAGTGTATGTTTTGATATGTATATACCGGGTGAAATACGTTCGGAATATAAAATCACAACATTACGAATTAGTCAACATTTTCAGGAATTTGTGTTAATCGTAATTCGGACAAAAATACCAAAATCCACACCTCATTCATAGTCCAAGATCCCAGGGCCCCCAGACGTTGCTTATTTTCTCACAAATAAAATGTATAGTATTAGGATAAAGTAGTATTGATATATACCTTGAGTGTATGCATACTTGCTACCTTGGGCCGACCGCCAATTTACAGGTAGCAGATACTAAAGGTAGGTAAAAACAGTACTTACATTTCTCAAAGTTTCAGTGTTGATTTTTCAGTTGTTTTAGAAAATATTGTTGAAAATTAAATCATTTTTGTAAGCAGCCAGACCAATCGGAAAGGCCAAACATACCCCCAGACACATTCAAAGAGTGGCTATATGTGTGAGCGCAAGCGTGATTGTTAGATATTTTATAACATAGCTTTATAAAATTTATGTTATTAATAGTCTAATAGGTCTTCAGTAATAATTAAGTAAAATTTTCACGCTTACTTATAACGATAATTATAGCATAATTAAATACGAATTCATTTGAACTTGTAATGAAAATTACGAACAAACCGTTGTTGAGTTATGAAAAATATTTTTTATTGGATGTACTCGACAGATTTATGGTTTAAACAGCAATCAATTTAATAAAATAGTAGTTTATTTACATGTTATGATAAGCAAAAAAACAATAAATTTAATAACAGGGAATTTCAAAATAATTCATTTAAATATTAATCATTATTCATCAATAACCTGTGATTTTTTTTTAATCTTCATTGTCCTCATCATTGAAGTTTGACAACTCATCATCAATCCAATATTGGTATTAAGAAAAAAATGACCAAATATAAGCCCCGCCCACCCACCCCTTCTCAATTGTGACGAATGTTTTATTCATCGTGAGCTGAAGGGCGGAATTTAGTTGGAAAATCCTTATTTCTCTACAAGAAATTACCATATGAAACTCATCACAATTGAAATTGAGGCGGGTGGGTGGGACTTAATCTTTTTTTTTTAATGTATAGAGTTTTGTTTCAACAACAGGATAGATAACAAAGTTTTCAATTTCTTTTTGGTAAAAGATGACTTGGTATATTAATAAAAAAACGGACAAAATACAAGCCCCGCCCACCCTCCCCTTCTCAATTGTGACGAATTTTTTATCCACCGTGAGCTGAAGGCGGAATTTAGTTGCAAAATCCTCATTTCTCTACAAGAAATTACCATATGAAACTCATCACAATTGAGATTGAGGCGGGTGGGTGGGACTTAATCTTTTTTTTTTAATGTATAGAGTTTTGTTTCAACAACAGGATAGTTAACAAAGTTTTCAGTTTCTTTTTGGTAAAAGAAGACTTGGTATATTAATAAAAAAATGGACAAAATACAAGCCCCGCCCACCCACCCCTTCTCAATTGTGATGAACGTTTTATTCATCGTGAGCCGAAGGGCGGAGTTTACTTGCAAAATCCTCATTTCTCTACAAGAAATTACCATATGAAATTCATCACAATTCAGATTGGGGCGGGTGGGTGGGGCTTAGCCTTTATTTTTTTTAATATATAGAGTTTTCTCAAGCGGACGAATAATGACCTTACCCAATTATTGAAACAGTTCCCTGAGTATCATATATAAAAATCAAAACTGAGATTATAAGTAAAGTAATAGTAATTTACGCAACTAGTTCGGGATAGCCTGCTTCCCGCATGAACGCTTGTTTGAGGCACGACCGAAGGGAGTGCCGCATTTGCGTGAATGCGGGAAGCAGGATCACGAACGTGTTTTTGCACTCATGACCTTTTTTGATAGCTTTCGCGCATTCACCAGAGTGCGGGAGGTCGAACTTCCCGCACACGTGCATTTAACTTCCCGTTGCCATGGTAACCTTAAAATACTCGGGTAGTGTCAACATTGTGACGTGTTGACGGCGCTGTCAATGGCGTTGTTTATAAATAACTCACAGTTAATCTCTTCAGTTTAAAGGTTTATTCGTCGCAAAAAATATTGTACACAACACGTTCGTGATTCTGCTTCCCGCATTCACGCAAATGCGGCACTCCCTTCGGTCGTGCCTCAAACAAGCGTTCATGCGGGAAGCAGGCTATCCCGAACTAGTTGCGTAAATTACTATTTTTGCACTCATGACCTTTTTTGATGGCTTTCGCGCATTCACCAGCGTGCGGGAGTTCGAATTTCCCGCACACGTGCATTTTAACTTCCCGTTGCCATGGTAACCTTAAAATACTCGCGTAGTGTCAACATTGTGACGTGTTGACGGCGCCATTGTTTATAAATAACTCACAGTTAATTTCTTCAGTTTAAAGGTTTATTCGTTGCAAAAAATATTGTACACAACACGTTCGTGAGCCTGCTTCCCGCATTCACGCAAATGCGGCACTCCCTTCGGTCGTGCCGCAAACAAGCGTTCATGCGGGAAGCAGGCTATCCCGAACTAGTTGTGTAAATTACTATTTTGCAGCTTTAAAGCGTCTGGTAACAGGTACCGCCGACGCAAAGTGTCTGGCAGTATTAATTATTAATTTTCAACAATATTTTCTAAAATAACCGTAAAAATCAGGACTGAAACTTTGAGAAATGTAGGTACTGTTTCTACCTACCTTTAGCACCTGGTACCTGTAAATTGGTCGTCTGCCCAAGCTAGCAGGTATGCATATACTCTAGGTATATACTAATACTATTTTATCCTATACATGTTATTTGTGAGAAAATAAGTAACGTATGAGGTCCCTGGGATCTTGCTCTATCAGTGCCAGTAGTCTTCATATAAGCAATACAAAACAAAAACAACAAAAAAAACTATGTCGCCATGGAAATTGAATAAATCACAGACGCGTCATTAACATTTAACTAGATTTTCCTTACGTCTTTCTTGAAACTAAAACAGCAATTTAAAAAATAACAGCTGCCAAATTTTTTGATTGCATGTGATAGTTAAAGGACTTTTTCCCGAATCTATTTTCAAGTCACCATATGTATAATATACAAGTCGCGAAGTCGCTTCACGTTTACTATAAAAATTTTCTGCAACACATTATATACGTAAAGTTTGTCCAGAATTATAAGAATTTTATGGACTCCCAACGTTAATTCGTTTAACATCCCAGGCGTCAATTCTATTGTACAGGTAAAGAGCCTGTCAGGGGAAAGCCGATCTTTTCTGTACCTGAGTTCGCCCCGCTCTTCAGCTAAACAATAAAACTGACAACAGGGCTGTAAAATTAAATTAACTTTGGGAGTCCATAAAATTCTTATAATTCTAGACAAACTTTAACAGGTTAAGCGAATATACCAATAGGTTGCCAAAAAGTTTTGTAGTCTTACAGACAACTACTGTATATAATATCCAATATTATATGTGTATTATATGTATATATGAATTTGTTACATTTTTTAGAATAACTACAAAGAAATTTGCTTGTTCTGGTAGACAAAGATAGTCTTCTAATTCCTCAAACTTTGTTTAGCTGTGTTTTGGCAGCATATCTTCTGTTTTCTTTTTAGTTTGTCAGATTCGATGACATTTTCGTGTTGGATATTTTTTCACTCATTTTGTTTCGCACATGCTTTTTGATTTATTTCAAGTCTAGAATTAAAATTATCTTAATTAGCATTAACTCATAAAAAATTGCAGTAACATACCTGACTTTTAAGAACTTCTTCAAAATCAGTGGGAGTCTCTTCAGCGATTAATGATAGTCTTTCTAGCTCATCTGAAAAAGTGTGAACTTACCTAGTGTGAATTGATTTTTATTTTATAATATCTCCCCATATCACTTGAAAGCCAATACTGAGTGAGGCATTTGTGGAGGTAAAGGAGGGCTATCGGCCAGTATTTTTTCAAATCGTTGCATTGTATCCATTCACTGTAAAACGACTTTAAAAATGGTTTTTTGAAATTAGATTTGTCGCGAAACGTTCCCTCTCAGTTCGACGATCGCGTCTTTGGATTAGTCACGAAAAATCGAAATGTCAAAGTGAATTTAGAAATTATTCCTCGGTTCTCACTTAGTAATCAGTGAACAACTCAAACTGAATTATCTCAGCCAGTGTTCTAGTGTAATGTTTATTATAGGACAAATTAAACCAAATAAATTAACAAATTGATACATTTATTGATGCTGGGTGCAGCACATGAATCCCTCCGCAAAACTCGTGGTCGTAGCACGAGTACACCCAGGCCGAGACGAAGCCCTTCGAGCAGCTCATCTTCCTCAACACCTCCAATGGCATCGTGACACGTCCTGGGGGCCCGTTAAACTAGGCATTTACTCGCGATACCTCACTCAGTAATCACTGAACAACTCAAATTGAATTATTTTATTCAGTGTGATGATTATTGTAGGAGAATTTAAACACAATAAATGAACAAATTGTAACTTATTTCTAAAATCTCATTAAAATCCTATGTTCTACTCCGATTAGATGAAAAGGCGACCACCTGCTTGTTCTTATCACGCGATGATAAGATTTACCATTAAAACAATAGCAATCGGACCGAGCACTAATTTCAAAATACGATTTTGAAAGTTTTTTTGGAGTGAATGGAATTTTTATTACATCAATTAATTGTTAATTGTTTTTAAAAATTTTCCATTAGAAATGATACGCGGGTGTCACACAGCACTTCTTTTAACATTGAGAACGATCTTTCAACATCGACAGAGGGTATTGGAGCAAATTTTGAATTCTTTATTATATCTAGATATATATATAAACATTTACAAATTTTCCTTGTAAAACTTAACTCACAAGCGACAAGTTATTAAAACCTGCGTTTCTTTCTAAAACAGACTTAATTTTCTGAAAAACTTTTTCACCTAGTTTACTTTGAACATTGGATAGTTTTTGAAAACAATCTAGTACTAGCTGAATAGAATCTACCAGTGCTAAATTGTTACATTCAAGTTTTAAAATTGTATCAATAACCATGGAAAAATTAGCTCAAATAAATGTCAATTGAGATGGCAGTTTTGTTTTAGCAAACATTATTTTAGATTATTTAATAGAGGTAGCATCATCTGATAACTCATTAACAAAACTTTTAGTTGCATCGCAGTGTTTGGTATAAAATACAACTGCATTTAACCATGTTCCCCACTTAGTATAACAGATTTGTGGAGGATGGTACATTGGGCAATGCATTTCGATAAAATTGTACTCTCAAATTTAATTTCACAAAATTTTTTTTAACATTATTGACTAAATCATTTATTTTTGGAAATAAATTTCTAATTTCTTCAGCCACTCTATTTATACCATGATCTAAACATGTAATATGGATTAAACGAAAAATAGTTATTTTTAGTTTGAATGAAGCTTTGCACATGTGTGTAGTAGCATCTGATAACATTGTATAATTTTTACAGCTGAAACTGGTTCCGGAAGAAAAAAGTTCGTTTAACCTTCATGAATAAACGTTGTAAAGCTATTATTATTTGTCTTTTCCAAAGTTTTTGTGTTAATCAAATATGAAGTGCCATATTTTTCACTGGTCAAAGTTCCAATCAACAAATTTGCGACATAACGTCCACATGAATCGGTTGTTTCATCAACATGAAAATAGCCTGCTTTGTTTTTTGAAACACTTTGTGCACGTAGTTTTTTCTTAAGGTACTCTCATCGGCAACTGACTTCATGGTACGCTTTTTAAGAAATGACCACAGCTTGGGGTTATTCAGTTTTGATAGAGGAATATCGGCATTGAGGAATGCTTCACACATTTCGAAACAATATTCTTGTTGATTTGTCATCTTCTGAGTGTTGAAGAAAAATTCTGCAAGCAAACTTTCTGACTTCACATTCGTTAAATTCTTCAGCTTATTTTTGTGAAAGCTTACTCCAAAATGCTGAGTTATCGAAAACTTCTTTCCACAGGCGAACTGAACAAATACAATTAATTTATATTGTGCATCTTTACCTCTAGCGTTTAATTGAAAGCAATAAGATACAAAAAATAGATTGAGAATTTTCATCTAACACTAGTTGTTCATTTAGTTAATGCGAGTTTTTGGATTGCAGGCAAGAAATACCGATACAAAGACGAATTCGGGATGACGGAAGAACGCCAAGAGGAGACGAACAGCAACGTGGACGTGAAGTGGAACGGCGTCGTCGGTGACCTCGTCTCAGGAGCCGCTCACATGTCTTTCGCCGCCCTCAGCGTCTCCAGTGCAAGGAGCGAGGTGATTGACTTCAGCGTCCCTTACTTCTTCAGCGGGGTGTCCCTCCTCGCCGCGCCCCAGCAAACCTCCGAGATTCCTCTCATGGCTTTCCTTCTCCCTTTCTCTCCCGAACTCTGGATAGCCATTTTCACTAGCCTGAACATAACAGCAATCGCCGTGGCCATTTACGAGTGGTTATCACCTTTCGGTCTGAACCCTTGGGGAAGACAACGCTCGAAGAACTTCAGCATGAGTTCTGCCCTTTGGGTGATGTGGGGTCTACTCTGCGGTCACCTCGTGGCTTTCAAAGCTCCGAAGAGTTGGCCTAACAAGTTCCTCATCAACGTGTGGGGAGGTTTTTCCGTCATTTTCGTCGCCAGCTACACAGCAAATATCGCGGCTTTGATCGCGGGGCTGTTCTTCCACAACACCGTCAGCAATTATAGGGACAGCAGCGTAAGTACTTCTACACGTTTAAAACACTGTCACTGGCAATAAAAATTAAGATTGTACGAGGTAATCAATATTCAATTTTCACCGACGAACTTCTCCATAAAACCGTCAGCAGTTGGAAATACGGTTGCCTAAAGTTATTTTATTATCCAAATTGATGCACTGAATTAGTAAATGAGACGGATTTGAAACGTTCTTGCCATTAGTTGATTGCCGCAGAATTATGGATGGTAAAGAGGAAAGTAAGCGCGGTATTATGGTTACGCGAATGTCGGTTAATTGTTGTTTTGTCATTTGGGGAAGAGCGAGCTCAATGACGGGGCAAATGTCGGGGATGAGTGACGGCGGTAGTTAAAAAGCACGGAAAGTGGAGGTAATTTATTTCAATAATGGCGGAGGCGCCGGGAAACACCTTGAATAATTTCGGAAATAATTTGTGAAGCTACTGATTAATGAAGGTTAGGGGTAAAGTTTTAGAGAATCGGTTAAAAAAGCGGAGGGAAAAGTGATATTAGCAGGAAAAAACGCTGCAATTTGGGGAAGCGGTCTGGTTAACTTCAACATTTATGCGGAGAGCCTTGTTTCTATCAAGACGTAAACGATTGATTTATCGGCACGCTGTTTAACCATAATGAAAAAGAAAACATTATGGATATAGAAAATAATATTAGTAATTATAAAACTAGATTAATATTTCTAGATACGGCTCATATAACTTCAAGCAATTTTCAGATAATTAATGCATGCAGTTACTTTATTTAAAACTCACATCCGCCTTGTTAATAACCTCATCCTGGTCTGTTGAAATACGGTTTCGGGCATTAATTACGTATAACTATTTTAACAGACCTAAGTAAAGCAATTAAGCAAAATATTCAATTAATTTAGCTTAGTCATATTTTTCCGAAAATAATTTATTAAAGTACGAGATTGCAACAGTATTTTCCAGGGAATTTTCCCCAAACTTGCCGCTCCACTTCAGATTTTTCCAACCCTTTCCATCCCCCGTCGCCCGTTAAGACACGAAAAATCCGCTTTTTTCCACATAAATTTATTTATCACTTTTCGCCACCAAGTACTTTGTTACATCCCTCCAGAAACATGATAAAACTTTTAAACTCTCCCCAACAGGCTTGATTCTTTAATTTATGGTACCGTATACTCGACTTGAACAAGCTTGTTGACCTTCGTACTCCCGAAAAATACCATCCACCCTGATTTCCATCCCAAACTTGTGGGCGTGTAGTGCCATAAATAATTCAGGTTGACATCTTAAAAAAAAAGAGAAAACAGCCCGTTCGATCGGTTCCATAACACGGCGAGAGAATGAATAAAGCCAGCCATTTGGCCCCAATACTGTGAAAATAGTACACACATTTATCAGAGTTATACAAAATGGCGCAGCTGTTAGGAAATTCACAAACCGTAATATTTATTTTTCAGTTAGAGATCCCGGGGGCGAAATTTCTAGTACATGTGCGTTTTAATATTAAAAATGTAATGTGTCACACTTTCCGTACGCCGCTTGCCAGAACGTTTAGATGAGATGTTCGTTCGGGATCATTTGGGAATAGCACTTCTTGGAGGAATAGGAGCGAATATGTGAATCGATACGGCACGGTTTGTATTTGTAACTTGTAATATTATTATAGGAGTGTCGACATTCCTCCGTGCTCCGTGTCGCTGTTTGTTTTGACGTTCTAAATGAGAACGAATTTGCTTAACGTCTAAAGTAACAATTAATTAGACGACGCGCGGTGGAGTTTGAAGAGTGCGCAACGTGAGGAATGTCGGGAAAAGTTTAGGCATGGGAAAGTCACACCGGAGTTGAAAGCCAATTGAAATGAAACAATCAGATCGAAAGGCGTTTTGCGTTGGGAAAGTTTGACCTTTTTACGAGCGGGATCATAAAGATTTTGACAAGGATTCAATCCTACAGAGTTCGAAGAAAGGTGGAGTGAATGGATGGGTCTCACACGAAGTCTTTTTTTAAATTATGATAAAATGATCGATCGAGAGAAACTTTAGTGACATTTTCAAACTCACCCGGGCGGAAAAGGCCTTAAAACGTCATCACTTATCAGATTTTATTAAAAAGGTAACATGTAGATTCTTCTTTTTCTAGCTGCTAAGTCAGAGAGTGGGAGCCCCCCGGTTCTCCGCCGCCGAATACTACGTCCAAAAAGCCAACCAGATCCTGTGGCAACACATGAGCAAGTACTCCCTAGAGAACATTGAAGAGGGCATCGATAAATTACGAAACGGTTCTCTCGATGTTCTCATTGCCGATACTCCAGTCTTGGACTACTACCGCGCTACCGACCACGGCTGCAAACTCCAAAAGTTTGGTGATAACATCAACGAAGACACCTACGCGATCGGAATGACCAAAGGCTTCCCGCTCAAGGTCAGAACATTACCCCCTTCCATTCCACTAACAAGTTAAATTTTGTTTTATTCCACGAGGCAAATTTCTACCAATTAAACTCGAAACTAACTTTCCCTCGAGGAGATTTTAAAAACCCTACGTGAAACAGAAATGAAGTGGTTTTAAGTACGCTTTATACAAGTTTGTGATTTTAAATTGGTATTGCTTAAAGTATTTTTTTTATTATTATACTTACAAAGCATAATATACTAATTAAAGCAAATATAGAACAAAATTATCCACTTTCACTTACGCTTCGAAAAACACCTAGGTATGTAGAAAATTTGAGGCAAATTTGGCTACAGAATCAACATAATTACTGTTGAAGACCAAGGTAAAAACCAAACTTTTGGAAATTTAATATTAAACAGATATTCAGGGTTATGCTAAAGTAATGCACAAAATTCATAAAAGTGCAGCATTTGTTTTTGAAAAAATGCAAAAACATGTCAAGCCTTTCATTTTACTCTTCATCTTTTGATATATCTCAAAACATATTTTGTCAGAACAGGTTCTGGAGGCAATGGACAATCCGGTAAAGCTTTCTGGAAGGCTTGGATCCTCAAATGAGCTTCGAGAAATCTTTTGTTTGCGTTGGAAATTAAATCATTAACATCTTCATATTGTTTCTGGATAACTTCAGCTACTAAACTTAAGGCGTGAGCCAAACATGTTACATGAATAAAATAAATTGGGATAAAATATTTCCAGTTTGCCACATTTACCCATGTATACAGCGCCGTCCGTTAGCAGCTATAATACACCTGCATTGTTATTTCTGAATTAACATTATCATTTTAGAAATTGAATCACAGAACAAATTTAAGTTCGGATTATATCAGATTACTTACTTTACCACATAGCAAAGTTGCAAATTTGCCCTAATTGGGCAACAATGTTAATGCAACTTTGCAACCGTGCATTGTAAATGTAACAAAGCTAATTGACGTTATGCAATTTGTACACTAATCAAGTCAAAATTAATTTAAATCGGTGAGAGAGAAATGGATTTTTTTTTAATAATTAATAGAATTACCTAACGACTCAATGATAACCTCTACAGATAATTTTTTCACTACAATGTTTGCAACGTATTGCCCATTAGAATTTGTAGTTTCATCTACTGTTATGCAAATATCGTGAACCCCACTATCTGTTCTAACTCTATTAATCACCTACAAAAGTACAATGTAAAATAACTAAATAAATAAAATAGCTAAATTGGGGATGTTCCCTATCTTAAGTTTCTATGCAGTCAGACAATACTTACGTCATAGTAAACTTGGGATAAGTAATTCTTTCTTAAATTTGATTCCTCAGGAGTATTATTTTTGCAGTTTCGTTCCAAAAATAAGCGCAATGTTTTGTTGTTAAATTTTTTCAACGGTATATTTGAATACGAAAATAATTATATTAATAATGATTTTACCAACAGTCAGATTCACTATTTGACATTTTCAGTATTTTATTGTTAAAAGAGGAGTATGTATCTTATGAATAAAAAATCAAAGAATAAGCCCCACCCACCCGCCCTCATCTCAATTGTGATTAATTTTTTTATTCGTCGTCAGACGAGAGGCGGAGCTTAATTGAAACGTTTATATTTATTTCTCTATAAGAAATTACCACGTGAAACATGTTTTAAGTATCGTGTTGTTGAAAAAAACTAAGCATATTTAGAAAAAGAAGCCGCAAAATATGGCCCACCCACCCGCCTCGATCCCAATTGTAATACATTTTGTATTCGTTATGAGACCAGGGGGGCGGAATTTAATATTGCAAATTTTACTTTTGAGAGCATAAAAATATTCTTTGCTACTTTTTTGCAAATAATCCATTTTCAACAATACCATAATACCACAAACATGTTTCTCTTGCTAATTTATTGCACAGTAATAGAGACTTTGAAATTAAGGTCCGCCTTCTGGTCTCACAACGAATAAAAAATTCATTACAATTGAAATCGGGGCGGGTGGGTGGGGCATAATGTTCGGCTTCTTCTTCTTAATGTATATGTTACAGTCAAAGCGTACATTTCAGCGAATGTATACACTGAATAGTCAATGTATACATTGACGTACGGTTTTAGCCAAAGTATTCACTGGGCATGGAAATGGATACTTTTACTAGTAAATGTATACAATCACTAGACAGTGTATGCATTTACTGCAGTCTGTTAGTCAAAGCTTCAATAAAAAGAAATACTTAAATATCACAATTGAGGAGCTCAGAGAAGAAGTAGTACAAGTGACATTTTTATTAAAAATGAGTGAAGTGCTGCACAGTATATTCACTAATGCTTATGGAGAAATAGAAATAACATAAAAAGTTAAACTTTCTATGTTGTTCTCTAAACCTGTACAGATAAGATAGGATAAATGAAAAAACTTCCAGGAATTACTCCCACATGTAGCTAGTTTTTTTTAAGTTTGCAGATGATAATAAATTAATAAAAGAAAGGGTTAGCATATCGAAATCGATAACGAAGAAGACAACAAACTTTGTTTTTATTGCAGTTTTATCCATTGTAGATAATATTAAACTAACGCTTAATATGTACTACACACCATACAAAAACAATAAATCACAATTACCGCTAAAACATCAGTAGGTACAATGTGAAGTTATGTCACCATGTATTATTATTTGGTGCATACTTTGACTAAGCGGGAATCGTTAATGTATACATTGACTAGTTAAAGCTTACACATCGTCCATTGTGAACACATTTACTGAGCAAATCAGTCAATGCATACATTGGCTAGTCAGTGTATACATTGACGGAATGAACACTTTGACTGTAACATATATACTTAGTTCTTTTTCAAGGATACGATACTGTTGATGTTTCACGTGGTAATTTCTTCTAGAGAAATATTAAATTTCTTAATTAAGCTCCGCCTCTCGTCTCATAACAAATAAAAAAATTAATTACAATTGAGATGGGGGCGGGCGGGCGAGGTTTATCCTTTCACTTTCTTTTCGTAAGACACATGGTCTTTTTTCAACAACAAAATACTTATAAAATATCAAATGCTGAATTTGAGGTCAGAATTAAATGCAGCTGCGTCATCAGAGTTGTCAGATCTACCGATTTACGCTACAAGTTTACAGAAAGATGAAGTTGTGCATACTAAACATTTTATTTTCGTATAGTTTTCTTCTTCGTCCGATATCTCTTTTTTGTTTGAAAGAATAAGAATATTCTTTCCCTGCTTTTTGTTGTTTTTTTTATTTTTTTTTTCAGCTTTTTTACGTAATTTCTTGTATAGAAATATGAAAATTGCAATTAAGGTCCGCTCCCTGGTCTCACAACGCGTAAAAGATCATTACAATTTGTATCTCCGATCTCACTTGTGATAATTTTTTATTCATTGTAAGTAAGTATTTTAGTGCCAAAAGAGGAGTATGTATCTTAACAACAAAAAAGTGAAAGGATGAGCCCCATCCAATGGTATATTTGCCCCAACAAATGCACTGAATAATTAATAGTAAAAATTTTTCTTGTAGTCTTCATTATGAAATAAGGAAATTAAAATTTGCCTGGTATCTTTACTAAGATTTGTTTTGTGCATGTCAGTATTTTCATGTTGAAGCACGTGGCACTTCTTTTGGCATGAAATCTACTACAACACATGTTATTCAGTTATTTATTAGGTAAAATAGGTCGAAAAATTGCAAGAAAGGTACTCATGATAAAAAATTGGCAAATAGGTAAAAACAAATGCATGCTTTCGACTGTGATCAAACAGGCCGGACTTGTTTATGAGAAGCGTATTGCAGGGGATAAGGACACCAAAACTCTTTTTAAGCATATTCGCACTACTTTAACTGGTTCAGTTAAAACGGTTAAGGTTAAAGATGCGGCCGGCATGGTTACACCGCTGCTGATATATTTGCCGATTCCTTTGCCAAAGTGTTTACTCTGGAACCTCTTATCTAGCGTTTACAATTCGAATAATATCACTGATATAAAGTTCTCTGCGGACGCGGTGTTAGATAATCTCAGCAAGTTGAAAGTCACTAAATCGCCAGGTCCGATCTTATTTCTGCCTGCGTCTTAAAGAACTGTGCAGCCTCTCTATTTCCACTCCGCTTTCCATTCTAATGGAACAATCATTCATGCAACAGCGTTCGTGAAACCAGTTTACAATAATAAGGACGATAAGTTTGATGCATCAATTATTATCTATGATCATTTAGTCAAGTTTCTTATAAATTACAACCACTCCCCCTGAACAGCATGGATTCTTACCTGACAAATCTATCCAATCTACTTTTTTGTGCTGTTTGTCGGACTGGACTAGTGACATCGACCTGAATCGCCCCGTCGATATTTTATATCTCGATTTTTCAAAGACTTTTGACAAGATTCCGAAACGAAGGCTTCTGCACAATTTGTAACATCTTGGTATACGGGGAAACCTTCTTGGGTGGATATATTCTTTTCTGAGCGGTCGAACGTTTCGAGTCAAAGTCGGTGATGGACTTAGTAGATCTGTTGATGTTGTGAGTGGGGGTGCCCCAGAGCTCGGTGCTCGGCCCGCTACTATTTGTCGCTTATACTGCCGACATCAAGAATACCACAACCTCGCCTTTCGCCATGTTCGCAGACCACATCAAGCTTTGCAGCAGTTGTGCGAATTATAGTTCGTTAGAACGAGAGACAGAAACACGTTTATTCCACTGACAACTTACCTCTTTCATGTACGGACTCGCACGTCGACTTGGGTGTTGTTGTACCTCCAATTTGTCCTGGACTGAGGATGTCCAGCGAGTTGCGAGTAAAGCAAATAAAATGCTCTTTCTTTTGAGCCAAACATTTTCCAAAGCTAGCCATTAATCTCTTCTAAACTCTTCAAAATAAGTGTGCGGCCTTTGCTAGAATTTGCTAATGGTCTCTCATGAATCAGGTATCTATTACTTCCCTTTCAATAGCTCAGACCTCAAGGATATAGTACTAGCCTCATCTATTGTAA